AAAATCTGCGCTGCAACTGTTTTAATCTTCTCTCGCTCTAGGTAGCACGGACTACTTCAGATTATCCAACCTGCTTCCGATAGCTTCGGTAACACTTTTCAACCGGCGAATGTGCACAATGGTAACAAATATCAGTGCTATCGAACAGCAATTTATGACCGCTGGGACGATAAGCAGTACAATTATCCAAGAATAATAATCTTCAGCCGCTTCTGTACATGACCGAGCTGTATAATAATAATGATAATAATAATAACAAATAACAATCGTTATTATTATGTAATGAAGTTAACCGATGATGCCAATACAGTTTGTCAGCATGAGGGGCACCGCACCCCTGTACTAACGTTGGCTAAAAAAGCATCTGTAAAATCCCTCAGTGGAAAAATTAATGTAGCCATTAAACAAATTCTGCACGTCGTAAGATTGGCACTAAGACAGGCCAAATCGTTCAGTTGGAAATGCATGCAAAATGAAAGGAACAGAGATGCACTGAAAAAACAACATATCAGCGTTCAGCGACAAAATTCCCGCCACATTCACTTCCGGTCACTGATAAAAACACAACGAAAAAACTCAACAACCACATTCGCGCCAGGATCTTCCAATGTGTTTGCTCAGAGGACTTCTCCTCGTAGTATGCTGCGCAAAGAGATGATTTAATGCCGTTACTAAACGGACAGAAAAAATGGAAGGTGCAGCCACCGACCAAGTAACTAGTAATTAAAAAGAAAATTTCGCTCACAGTTAGCAAGTGAGACTGCACCGACAGCGGCGGGAACAACGGAAATATTTGAAAATCGCGATGCCGCCGCACGCTCTGTGAGATTCCCTGTAACATTTGGGCGCGGCACAACCACCCAAAACATTACCAACAGCCACAGAGGCAACCACCTAACAATACGTGGAATAAACAACATAAATGCAGTGGCAAAAGCTGGCATATATAAATACAATAAAACTTAACGGAATTCATGCAAATTTGTGAATACTGAAACTGTAAGCAGAGTGAAACCTCATGAACTACGCAAATTTATCAGCAGTCTTCACAGACTTCACTGAATACAGAATGTCTTGCACAAATCCCTCAATACTTCAGTTCCAGTAAAGTAAACGCGCAGAGCAATTCTCTTAACAGAAAACAGAGAAATTATTTGGACAACTTCCGCAGTGAGTGTGCGCATATGCGATGAGAATACATTAAGGACAGGCAGACAGTTTTGGCTGTATTAATTAGAAACGAAACTTCACACCAGCGCTGCGAATCCCAACAACCATGTTGGAATAAAATGCCGTA